AATCTGATATATATATATATATATATATATATATATATGCTATAATATAAATACCATGTTACTTTTACCTGTTACATTATGTGTATGACACACTTAATTTTAGCCTGCATCTAAAACATTAATGTAATATTAAATATATTACATTAAAAATAATCACTTATTCAAAATAAACCATTTGTCTTTATCATCTGAAATGACTGTGCATGACTTGATTTACCTTTTCCATCTAATTTACAATTTGGGCTTAAATGAGCAGGTTACAATTCATTTATGAGTAAAAACACGACAATGAAAAAGCGAAGCTTTCCACACGGGTTTTACTATGAGAACTAAACAAAGCAAACCTTCAAAATTTAAGACTTTTCTTATTTTCTCTCCCAAAGCATTATTCCAACTTCTAAACAAAATTGTTACCTATTTAATGTTTTTAGACCCGGATTCCTAGGACTAAGTGACTGACAAAAATAAGACTTTTAAAGTCATTTCATCTTAACTCCCACCATAAATGATTTAACAAGATAGATTCCTAGGTTCCACTGGAAATGCTTTAAAAAAATTTTTTTTCCCACAGTGACCTTAATCACTACCCTTAGTTATTTCTCACCTCCAGACGTTTGGATAAATTTAAATTTAAGTTAAAATGGAGGTTAATTGAATCTCAGTAAAGAATCACTTGGTGGAGCCCTGGTGCGAGGGCGGGGCGTGTGAACAGATTCAGCAAATAAAGAGTAACCGGACACCTGAAGCTTGCACTTGGCTCTGCGTTGGGTGGATACTTACCAAATAGGTATTTCTTTCAAATGGCTCTACCTGCCCCTGCGGGCATCTCACTGCCCCTAGACAGGCCCTGACCACTCTGCTCTCTCTGGCAGGTCATGATGATGGGCAGCACCCGCGTGGCCGAGCTGCTGCTGCTCCACGGCGCCGAGCCCAACTGCGCCGACCCCGCCACCCTCACCCAACCCGTGCACGACGCCGCCCGGGAGGGCTTCTTGGACACGCGGGTGGCGCTGCACCGGGCCGGGGCGCGGCTGGATGTGCGCGATGCGTGGGGCCGCCTGCCCGTGGATCTGGCTGAGGAGCGGGGCCACCGCGACGTCGCCCGGTACCTGCACGCAGCCACAGGGGACTGACGGTAGGTTCATCAACCTGCCAGGACGACTCTTTTTTTCTCCCCTGTTCCCTACCCCCAACTAGTTCAATGAAGACTGCTTACCTGGAGCAGCTAAGAGCCTTTGCAAGTCTTGTGTGATTCCACCGTCAGAGGAGGGGGAACCCAAGGAGAATAAATACAAACTCTTAGAAACTCTGGATCAGCCTCACTCACCTTGAAGCCAGAAGCAGAGGTGGGGCAGATGGGTTTCCAGCCAGTGTGCCAAGTTCCAGGTGTAGTTTACTTTTCACAGTTTTCTGATGGAAAGTGCTTGTGAAGCCTTTGAACGGTGGTCCAGGGTGCTTAAGAATCATCACGTGGTGACGCTGGGGCCCGGAGTGGCAGACCGCAGTGGTAGGCTTTGGGGTGGGCGCAGTCAGTGCGCTCCCTGCGCTGACCACGGAGGAGCCCTCTGTAAACCCTGGCTGTGAGCGCTAGGCCCTGAGATTAGCGGGGGAAACCTGAAGACTGTGGAGTAGACGAGGACGACGACAAGAGGACGACAACGAGGGTCTCGAGGCGGGCTTCCGCTGATGTCCGACGCTTTTACGCCCTGTCCCGGTACACGGCAAGTCATGTGCCAAATGGTACTCCCTGGAAGCCTAGGGCACTGGAACCCAGCTCCCCCAGATAGCGGAGTGGGAGGTGAGAACGTGGGAATCATGGCAAAACTGCCTGCGCCCATATCCAAAAATCCCTGGAGATCTCGATGATACAGAGAAGCTCTCGGAAAGTTGCTGGCTCTTGCTTTAATTCCACAGAGACGAACCGCAGCAGCGTAGGCAGCTGGAATGAGACAGTGCACAAAATGAAGTGGCGCATTGTAATCAGAGCAACTGTTGCAGTTACCGATTTGCTTCACCTACATTCGCTAGGATACAGAAACCCCCTCCCCAGGTTATTGCCACTTGAAAATGTTTTGTGATACTTTGTACTTTTGAGTTCTTCAGTGAAGTCTTATTTAATGGGGAGAGTTTAAGTAACAATATTACTTTGTGACCTTCCCAGAAAGAGGAAAGGAAAAACTAGTCTTAAATGAAGCTGCGCTCTGGCCAACTCAGTGTCACTTTCTAGATGGCTTTAAGCCTTTACCTATTTATTTCTTCGTGAATTTTTTCTGCTTGTCTTCTTTCTAAAGTGTCTCAGGGGATCACACCGTAAAATACTACAGATATCTTTTAGAAGATACATACACTTATTCACTTAATTGTCTTCAGACATTTCTGAAAAGTCCACCAAGGATAAAACTGCTAAAAATATATGATAGCTTGTAGGTTCTTAATATGTACTCAACGAACTAACAGTGCACTGCTTTGGGATTTAATTTCCAGTGGCCGATTCATTGTAGCATTGAAACAATTGCTGTTTCACTGCTTTAATAAAGAATAAACAGTAGAGACTGAATGCCAAGATGTAGGTAATTTGTTTTAAAAATGTATGTTCATAGACAGATTTACCACTAAGTGCTGAGAAGAGTTAGAAGTTCAAAGTGGTTCACTTCTCTCACCCTTTGTAATAATTGTCAGTAAACAGTACCAACAGTTCATAAAACAGTTTATATAAACCACTGAAAGTAAAACATAGATTTATGTATCTGTTATGCTTCTACGTGTCCAATGACTAGATCTCTATATGTGCATTTAAAAGAGAAGAGGGAACAGAACACAAGTGGAGAGTACAGGCTTAGAAGAAGTGACGACTTTGAGCTCAGTGCAAAGTCTTTACTTCTTTTCTTTACTTCTCTGTGAATTCCTTACTCCCCAAACTAATATTATTAGTGGGAAAGGTTACTTGAGAATCAGAGCATCCTATTGGAGAAAGATATGTGTTTATTGACACATTTGTACAGGCATGTTTTAAAATTCTTAGTGCCCTGATTTGATTATTATCCATTGTGTGTATGTTTTGAAAAAAAAAAAACTATACTCCATAAATATGTACAACTATTATATGTAAATCAGAAATTGCAATAAAAAGTAAAAATAGTAAGAATTTTTAAAAATACATTTGTTCATTTAACACTTAGACCTGAGAGAGGGGTACTGTTTCCCAGATGAAGGCTGGTGAGGTAGAGAAATAGCGAATAACTTGCCCAGGGTCACAAGATATTCATTTTATGAATGTGTAAAGTAAATCCCTCTGGCTCCATAGCTTCTGGTGTTTCTTGTTGCTTTCATTCTAAACAGTAGAAATTTATTTGGCTTATGACCTAGAGGCTAGGAAGTCCAAGATGGAAGGGCCACCTTTCCTGACAGCTTTCTTGGTGCCTTGCAATGCAGCTGAAGACTTCACGTAGTAAGAGAGCTCAGAAAATAGTGAGAGATTGAACTCCCAGCCTCAACTCTTTTGTAACTGGCATTAATCCTTTCATAAAGGGGGAGCCCTTCTGATCAAAAAACCTCCCATGATGCTCTGCCACCTAACAAGATTACATTGGGGATTGAGTTTCACACACATGCTTTTCAGAAGCCACAGTCAAACCATGGCAGTGACTTTTGTCATATAGACCACTTTATCTTCCAGTTGTGTGATCTTTTTGGAGTCACCTAAACACGCCATAATCTACCCCCTACGCCTTCACATTCAGTCTTCTCTCAATCTTTTTGATCCCACGTTGTCAATCAGGTCATCTTTTATGTATCCTGCTAGGCTCTGCTCCCAGAACGTGTTTTCCAGGAAATCTTTCAATAAGTGCTAAAAAATGTTGACTAAATAATTATTATGCTAAATAACTTACTCGTATACCCTTCATCTCATCCTAAACTGAACTGAGTACTTCTCTATGATTTCTACTTGTCCCCTAACATGGAACTGATCAAGCTGCCTAATAATAGACCATTTCCTTTCTCTTAAGATACCGCAAGCCCACCAATAGCAAGAACTCTTTC